AAACTAAAAAAATTATAAAAACAATCGATGTATAAGAGAGTATATATGTTTATTTTATTCTAATCCATACATAGTGATAAAAATTTATAGAACCCTTCCAAACATTCATTTTCTGTCTATCAATATTATCACATATGATGACGTCTGTGATTCAAATGCAACACTAATGGTACCATCCCCAATACAATGATACTTTTTTTCTTCTGTACCTAAAAGATCTATTGTAAAGTTACCAAAAAATGTAAAAATAAAGAAACAAAAATGATGAAAGAAAAATGAGAAAATAGTTCTTAAGCGGAGAAAATACATTGGAGTAAAATGTTCAAATGAGATTTACAAATTTGGTGTTCTTTAATGTGACTTTAAATAAAGAATTTTAGGTAAGGAAAGTTGAAGAGAATCAAATTATTAAAGCTAAGAAAATGAAGAGAATGAAATTATTTAAGTTAAGAAGTTGAAGAGAATGAAATTATTAAAAATAATTTAACCCAAAAAAAAACTTATCATATCCATACTTAATTGTGGGGGTATGTTTGGTTTTTAATTTTCATTCTAGTGTCATGCACCTTAAGAAAATCCTTCTAGTGTCATGCATCTTAAGAGGTTTCTCGAAACCATCTTTAAAAGGTTCATCTTGCAGAAAAGATGAGTTGGACCATTTTGCGGGATTCATTGCTCAGCATGCTTCTGGTATGTTTTCATTATTAAAAGGCTTAATGACTTAAATTCTACCATAATGTAATTAAAATATTTGTATTTAATTAAATAATTAATTAAATTTTAATTTACTAAAAAAATAAAATAATAATTCAACTTTTTATTTAGAAGCTTCCCACTTATAATAATATACGATGATTACTTTATCTTATATATTTTCAACTATTTCAAACACACACATTAAAAGAAAAAAACGAATTTGGGGCAAGGCCCAAAACTTGATTCCAACTTCCATTTTTGACCCATTCAAAAAACCAAAAATACAATCAAAACGACATCACTTTCACAATATAAACATCAAAACACTGTCGTTTTGACCTCAGAAAACCCTTCTATAAAACACTACACAAGAACATTTAGCAAAGAACAATTTTTTTTTACATCTGCAGTCTCTTTGATTTCCATTCTCTCTGCTCTTTATCACGGTAAGTACCCCCCACCCCACCCCACCCCCACCCCCACCCCCTTGTTTTTTTACCTCTATAAGTATAGATCTGGAGCAAATCTTGTGCCACCATGTTTGTTATTTGAGTTGGGTATTTGAATTTATTGCTTCTTAGTGACAAGATTACATTTTTATGTGTGATTTATGCTGTTTGGGTTGATGGGTCGTTTTCTGTTTTGTTTTTAGTGTTGCGATGGATCGAATCTTGATGTGGATTTATCTTATTGGGTATTGGTTTATGTTGCTTGGTGGGGGTTATATAAGATGATTGATTTGATTTAAGTTTTGACCATGATTTGTGTGATTTTGATGTTTGGGATTAATGGGTCGTGTATGTGTAGTTTTTATTGGAGCAAAGTTTGTCCCTTGGTGTGACTTTTGTATTTTATGGTATAGGTTAATGCTTCATGAAGAGCTAAATATGATTAGTTTGATTACTTTTTATTGTTATCAATGGGATTCGAGTGGTTAGGATTAATGGGTATTCATCTGTTTGGTTTCTGTTGAAGCTTTGCGTACTTTTTTGGCATGATAGGTTAATGCTTCCTGTAGAGCTCGATATGATTAGCTTGATTACTTTTTATCCTTATCGATGGGGTTTGAGTGGTTAGGATTAAACGGTCATCATCTGTTCGGTTTGTGTCGAACCCAAGCCTGCTCTTTTGGCATGATTCATGAATTATGTTTTATTTGGTTTAGGTAATGGTAATGCTTCCTGAAGAGCTCAATATGATTAGTTTGATTACTTTTAATTGTTAGTGGTTAGGATTAATGTGACATCTCTGTTCGGTCTGTGTTGAAGCCAAGCTTGCTTTTTTGGCATGAATTATGTTTTCTTTGGTATAGGTTAATGCTTCCTGAAGAGCCCAATATGTTGAAAATGTGATTTGAGTGGTTAGGATTCATGGGTCATCATTTGTTTGGTTTCTGTCGAGCCAAGCTTAGTTTTTTTGGCATGAAGTATGTTTGCTATGGTAATGCTTCCTGAAGAGCCCAATATGTTGAAAATGTGATTTGAGTGGTTAGGATTCATGGGTCATCATTTGTTTGGTTTCTGTTGAGCCAAGCTTAGTTTTTTTGGCATGAAGTATGTTTGCTATGGTATAGGTTAATGCTTCATGAAGAGCTCAATATGATTAGTATGGTCCATACTTGTTGCTCCTTGACCTAAATTTTATATTTTTCATTGGTTCTGGGAAATGCTTCTTGGAAATCAGAGCAGTCATGATATGGTTCCTTTTTTAATATTTTACTCTGGGATGTGAATGGTTTTAGTTAATTTGTTGCTTCCTTTGTTTTGTATTAACTGACTGATGTACATGTCAGTAAAAGAGAAATGAATCAAATGTTATATTTTACTTTTGTTGCGGGAAGATGGAATATCTGTATGTTGTGTCTTTTCATGAGCTATTCATGGCTGTTTCGTCTCGTCTCTTCATGATCTTGAACATTGTCCAATTTGCTGAAAGCCTCATTAGGTTAATGAGTTCTGCTTTATTATTTTTACTTATTAGCCACCCATCTGAAAGGGAAGAGAAAGTAGAATAGGATTGATCTAGTACATCAAGTTGTTCTCTGTGTATTTCTAGTTGTTTGGATTAATGAGTAATTGCCTGATTATTCGTAAAGAAGCGATTTTATGAATCATATATTATGGAAGTGATTATTGCCTTGATTTTTGAGTTACTGGAATAGTGCTACAATTGCTTCTCTTAATGTTTTCTTCATGATGTGGTGTAGATTTTTTTTATTGTTCAAAAAGAAGTTTCACTGTTGCATATTGAATTAACCAAAATTCATAGCACCCTAAATGCAATCATATCTGAAAGTATACTTTGTATCCAAAACATACATCAATGGGAGCATTTACAGAATGTTATGATGTATTAATTGGAACTTGGAAGGAACTGTTGATCTAGTTAAGCCTTGTGGGTAGGTGTAGACACTCAGATGTGATTTTTGAAATATGAACCTTATAATGAAGATAAATGAAATTTAATTGAATGTTGTCTGCATTTTTTTTTATTTTTTTTTAATTTTCCCTTATTTGCGTTTGGCATTCTAGTTGATTGCTAATGGGTCGTAGACACTAACTAATTATGTGTTGGCATGAGTTCCGTTCCATATTCTGGAAATAATTTATGCTATGTGTCAGCGGAAAAGAAAGAGGGTTAGTAGGCAGAACAATGTCTATTTCCGACACTAGCTTTTTAGGAACTAAAATGGGAAAGATGCACAACATACTCCTGAACTCCCTCCACCCCAATTTATGTGGCACCGTTGACTTGACACAGTTTAAGAAAAAGGAAGGACTTTTGAAAAAACCTTAGACATTTGTGTGGGATAGATTAAAAGGAAAGGATGCCACATAAATTGCGCACAGAGAGTAGTAAGAGTAGTAATTTTCTGATGAAGTCCTCGTGTAGTATTTTCAACCATCCCCAGAAGTATGGTAGAAAGAGGAAATAGATGCCTACTTTCCTTCACTTTTACTGCAGCATGAATGGAAGGAATATATGCTTTTTCTAGGACTTGTAATTCAGCAACTTTTTTTTCCTCCTTTCTGGCCCGTTGCCTTGTTTTCTGAACATACTATTCGAAAAAATAAATAAATAAAATTGGGGGTAGGGGAAGGGGAAATGGGGAGGGAGGGGGGAGGGGGGATTACAAGGTAGGAAATCAAACCCTCACGACAAGGTGAATATTTTTGTAGCCAACCGATTGAGCTACTAAGATTTCCCTATTTTTCTGAACTAACATTGTGTTAAGAGTAGGACAAGAAATACAGTTTAGTTTTGAAGTTTTCAAATATGTAGCTTTATGTTCTTGTCTTTATAGATTTGAATGGTATATCATACAGTAGGCTACTAAATCACTCAGTTCATCATTACCTTGAGGAAATCTGATAGTTATACTTTGTCACGTCCCAATTCACATGATTGTGGCAAAACGATCACATATGTGCTGTAGCTTGAGACAATCCATTGAAACATACATAATTCAATCTGCAGCCTCATGATGGTGTAAAAAGATCCTCTATGAACTATGTATTGAGATGTTATTTTGAGTAATAATTGAATGCTTTGATGTTGAATGAGAAAAGAAAAACTGTTTTCTTACTATGGTTTACGGTATCTTGCAGTTTTAGGAGCTCCAAGATGGCTACCAAGTACATAATTGGTTCTATCGCTGGATCTTTTGTCGTTGCATATGTTTGTGACACTGTTATTTCTGACGGGAAATTGTTTGGAGGCAAGTTCTAGTTCTTTTCGTTAGTTCTTTGATCATGAAATTGCCTCGGCTATAATGACAGTCAACTTGTGGTATCTCAAAACAGGTACTACTCCAAGCACCGTTACCAACACCGACTGGTGGAAAGAAACAGACAAGAAATTCCAAGCATGGCCTCGCACTGCTGGTCCCCCGGTGGTCATGAACCCCATCAGCCGACAGAATTACATTGTCAAGTCTTGATTTAGAAAGTTGAGTTACGCTGTTTTTTTCCCCAACAGATTACATTTCAAATTAAACCATTCTTCATTTTTGAGCAAGGTTTTTTGCTCCTACGCTTGATTCAGACGATATTGAAGTCATTTTTCTCACTTATAAGAAGATTTGAAATATGTTACAAACAATCAAAACAGATTTGACGTATGTTACAATAAAATTTTTGTTCAGCTAGCACACCTGTGTACTGAATGAGCTGTTTTTTTTCTTCTGGCAAATATGTCAGTTCTTGGTTCTCTGCAATTATTTTTTTTTGTTGATGTATATGCCACATTCTTGTGATTGTTTAGCTGGTTTAGCTGCAAATGCAAATCTTTTTGATGATTTGTTGTGCATGATACTTGCATATCTATGAACAGCTCAGTGGAGGGGAGATATCTTACACTTGTGGTCATAGCTTCTCAAATCAATGTCATCTTTATTTATAAAAATATTATGTGACGACTAATCATCAATTTTGGGAGAGGCAAATCTAGAATTTAAAGATTTCAGGTGCATCAGTATAACCTAGCTAAACTTTAATTCAAACCATGGTCTCAAGATGGTTCGCATAACTTGTAATTATGCTTCTCTTGGGTGTACAATCGAATGTAGCCTAATTTTTATCAATTTTCTTCTCTCTCTATGTATATACATGATTATTTTTTTTAAATTAATAGGTGCATGTGCGCCTCCACTTATAAGTGTGGATCCACCTCTATATATGGGACAGTGTGCAATACATATTCTGTGTTTTCGATTATAGTAAATATAAAAATCACAAGGAGCCAATTAGAAAATGTAAAAGAGAAACAACAAATGGTTACCATACTTGTGGGCAATATATTATAGATTATAATATAGACAAAAGAAACCCACTAGCTGTACCACTCCAACAAAGACTTCATCTTGATTGAATTTGACACTTGTAGTATAAAATATTACTCCTTTCGTTTCATTTTATATGTCATTTTTTTGCTTTGTATACACTTTATTTTCTCAAGATCTTACTTACGAAATCACAGTGAGTATATTATTGTTATTGTTATTAACATGATTAATAGCCACACATAAATATTCACCAACTTATTTTAAATCACAACATTTCCTTTTTTTTTTAAAAAAAAGTCATGTCACATCAAACACTGCTATATAAATTGACACAAAGAGTAAGATGAAAGAAAGTGTCATGCAAAATATATCAATTAAAAGTGTGGCTTTAAAAGTAAAAAGTCTTTGAAGAAATAATACAAATAGAGAAAAATAAGGATTTATCCATGGAGGATAAACATAGAAGTTCAATGGTGGTTTGTGTTACTGGTGGTTCAGGATACATAGCTTCATTTTTGGTGAAAAAACTTCTTCAAAATGGCTACAAAGTTCATGCCACCCTTAGGAACTTAGGTTTGTAATTCTTGGATTTGCTTCTTTTTTTTATTTCAATCTATGAATTGTCTCGAGTCGAGGTAGGAGTAACGTCTGTGTTACACCCCATCCTTTCCAGACCTCACTAGTGTGAGACTATACTGAGTATGTTGTACGTTGTAATGAATTGTACTGTTGTTGATGGGATGGATGAGATTCCTCGCGATTTAAGGCATAAACTATAAGCTAAGTCATAGATTTGATAAAAATAGTTTTTGCTTGTGGAATATGAAACTCTAGGATAGTATACAGTGGCTATCTGTGAATTTTTTTTTCCTTGGGAAGTTCTGTTAAAGACCCCTCATCTCTTTAATGGGTCCTACACTCACTACAAGATCGGGAATTTGTATGAAATTTTGCAGGAAAATAAATTTCTTATCAATTTTCATACTAATCCCCACGAAAATCCCATGTAATTTATAGTTCTCTTGTAGTGACTAGAGGTGAAAGCAAGAGGGAGGGAGCGGAAACAACCTCTTTACCTCACAAAGGTCTTCGTATACTCCACCCTCCCAGGCTTCACGAGTGATATTATACTGAATATGTTGTTATTGTTGTTGAAATGAATTATACTGTTGATGGAACGGGGGACGGAAGATCCCTTACCCCTTTAGTCCTAGCTTGGAAGAGGACAGAAGTTTATTCATCTAAACGCCGCCTTAGAGGAAAATCGGCTTGTATATATAAGGTTAATTGTTATGTAAACATAGTAAGTTGAACTATACATAGTGAAAATTTTGGTCCCGCCACAATTGTACATGACACAAATCCAAATTAGTCGGATTTGTAAATTTCAAATACAGGATGGTGTAAAAGACTCATAAATTGTGATAATTTTGTAGAGGATAAATCAAAGGTAGGCTTGTTGAAGAACTTGCCTAATGCAGAAGAAAATTTGAAGTTATTTAAAGCTGATATGTATAGACCAGAAGAATTTGAGCAAGCAATCCAAGGGTGTGAATTTGTTTGCCATGTGGCCACTCCTTTTTTACATACTGACGGATTTCAGGTACGTATTCTTAAATTCTAACTTTCCACATTACACGTCTAAATTCACAAGATTAAAAAGAATTTTAGTATATGTGTTTAGTTTAAGACCACAAGATTCAAAAGTTCTGTTTTACTTTCTTAAACTTCGTGTCAAGTAGAAACTAGACAGACAAATTGAAACAAAGGGAGTACTACATCGGTTGCTAGCTAGCTAGGTTACACCCTAAGTTCTCGTTGGTCGTCAGGGTTGGAGCTAGCTATAGTTGGAGAAGGGTGGTCAGTCAAACACCTCTCATATGAAAATTATATATATATTTATTTTTGTCGGATTGAATGTTGTAACAGTACAAGAATCCAGTAGAAGCAGCAGTTGCATCAGTGAAGAATATTGCAATGTCTTGTATAAAGTCTGGTACTGTAAAGAGGCTTATATATACAGGCACTGTGCTTGCTGCTTCACCAATGAAGGATGATGGCAATGGCTTCAAGGATTTAATGGATGAAACATGTTGGACTCCTCTCAATGTCCACTTCCCTTTTAGTGATGATTTTGTTATGGTATGATTTTGGGGTCAGTTTGCGTCTTCTTAGACTATACATACCTCTTGACGTTTGTTATCTTCTATGTACCAACACATGTATCGTGCAACTCTGTCCACCAAGACTAACACAGATTGGACCATTTATTCTTTTTGAATGGCGTAGAGTTATGTGGAAGCAAAGACAGCATGTGACAGAGAAATTTTGAACTTTGGCAAAGATGGATTTGAGGTTGTGAGCTTAGGTTTTGGTCTTGTTGGAGGAACAACAATCATGTCAAATATCTCAGGAAGCATGGCTGGTATGTTGTCAGTGGTAACTGGTGATGAAATTCATTACAATCAACTCAAGTTCATTGAAGAGGTTGATGGAAAAGTTCCAATCATACACATTGAAGATGTTTGTGAAGCTCACATTTTCTCAATGGAAAATAGTGATTCTATGAATGGTAGATTCTTGTGTGCTAGTGCATTTGTTTCTTCTGCACAAATTGCAACTTATTATCAACAAAACTATCCAGAGTTTCATATTAACCAAAAGTAAGTACCTTATATTTCATCTACAATATTTAGTATCTGGTATCTGGTTTGAAATCCCACCTCATGCCCAATGCTTAGCATCTGATACGTGCGCAATTTTGATTTTGGATGCCCCTCCGTGAGATGTGTCTTGCTCTGATACAATGTGAAATTAGGTTTTAGACGTAACTCACACCCCAAAAGTTAGATTGCTCAAGTTTTAGTTCACCCATCTCATTAACCATCATTGTGAGCTTTTTTCATTCTTTAACATTAAGTATAACAGAGTACTTAATCACCACCCCGTCACAATTGATATTGAATGTAGTTCTTGAATTTTCTTTTGTGCATACTTAGACATTTGAGGCTATGAATTCATAAACATTTGAGTTTACCTAAGACGACTTAAAGAATTTTTATACTATCAGATCATTTGACATACATTTAAAGGATCATTTTGCTCATTATTTTTGGAATTTCATTTTACACATCTTCCCATTTATAAACAGGTACTTGGATGATCCAAAGAGAGAAGTGAAATGGGGATCAAATAAGCTTATGGAGAAGGGTTTTGTGTACAAATATGACATGAAGAAAATATTGGATGATAATATTAGAAGTGCAAGGGAACTTGGAGATCTCAAACTACCATCTGCTTAATATGGGAACTTTTAATTACTATCGACTGTTTGTACCAAATTATATGAAATTATTGCAAGTGAAAATATGGTGATAATATCTGCTAACACGCATGTCGTGTATTTATTGTTTTGATGTAGACACAGAGTGCGGATAAATTTTATCGTCCATGTATTATTATTTCTATCCTCATAGTGTGGAAGTATGAATATGAATAATTGGGAGCTAATATATAGGATTCATGGGAAAGGAACATGTATAGTTAAATGACTACATACAAACACCCCTATATTCTACTCCTTCCGTTTTGATTTTGTTTGGCCATATTTCCTTATTGGTTCGTTCTGAAAATAATGACACATTTCTACGTTAGGAAACAATTCACTTTAAACTTCACATTTTATCATTAGTATGAGTTTGGGTCGAGCACCTAATCTATTAAGAGTTGTCCTTTCAGACCCTATTCTCCGAAGTGGACAAAGAGCAAGAAGTAAAGCACCCGCCTTTAGGAGGGAAAGTTCAGGGGTTAGATGCATCTGATTCATATGCAGTTTCTCTCCGAAAGGCTTTTATAGTCACACAAATATTACGACATGTGTAAGACAGTTTCAAAAAGTCTTATATCCACACAAATTGTATTAATCTAATTGGAACAGGGGAAGTAGTAAATAGAGTACTAATACATCATTTGGAAAGTCAAGCTGATTGAAGCAGTAGAATCATATGGAAACATATTACTCGCGCTCGATGATCACATCGATCCAATGATGATTTGATTTTCAGTAGTTGTAGTAGTGTTCCTGAAGTTTCTTCTTGTCCTTCGATTTCTGTTACTACCTATTGTTTTTTGACCCCCACTATCATCTTATTTTGTTGTAGTTACTATCATGTTCTTGTTTTTGTTACTCCTGTTACTTCGTTTTCTAGACTGCTTTGGACTATTTTTGTTTTGATTTGAGGGTCTATCGAAAACAGTTTTTCTACCTCTAAGGTAGAGGTAAGGTTTGATTACACTATACCCTCACCAGACCTGGTGTAATACCACAAGTGGAGTCTGTGGAGGGTAAAATGTACGTATGTACGCAAACCTTACCCTATCTTTGTGGGGTTGAGAAGTTTGTTTTCGATAAATCCTTGACTTGTTTTGGAAGCAATAAACCTGAAAAGGGAACTGGAAAATGAAAGATATTGCTATTTGTAAACATATTCTCAGAAATTAATCTATATCATCTCCATCTACATGTTCTGGAGAAAAAGAACTTGTGATCATATGATTGAAGTAAGACTCATCATACCCTTAAGAGTTCGACCATTTTGTCCTCTCGACTAAGAATTTCGTACACTTGTATTTTTACAGGAGCATTCACATATGAAGAGACAGAGATCAAGACGTACTTTTGATTTGATGATACGAACTTCCTTTAGCTTTCCGTGATTTCTTGCAGCATTTCTACCACCTTCTTCATCTTTGGTCGTTTTGCTGGTGTCATGTCAGTGCATAGCAATGCAACCTTTAGTGCTGCTAACATTTCTTTTCTCCAAGAAAATGAAATGGTGCTGAGCTTTGCATCGAGTATCTGCTCCGGTGTTTCCCCCCTTGCGGGTGCACCATGTACCCACTTAACCAAATCTATTCCTTCACCAAAAGCTTCATCAACAGGTAGTCGGGTGGTTAGGATCTCGAGCAAAACAACCCCATAGCTGTAAACGTTTCCAGGAGCTGTTACTTGCATTGTATATGCATACTCTGTTGAGAAAAAGAAGGGGGAAAAAAAAACAAGTCAATGACAGAGTTATAATCTCTACAAATGCAGAAAGAGAAAGATAGTACTCCTCTGTTTCAATTTATTTGCCATATTTAATTTTTTGTCCGTTTAAAAAAGAATGTATTTTTTTCTTTTTTGACAACTTTTAAATTCAAACTTTTCACGTGATATGTTTAAGACAACAAGATTAAAGGACATTTTGGTACATTTTACGAATTTTTAGTTTAAGACACACAAGATTCAAAAAAAAAATACTTTGTTAAACTCCGTGTCAAGTCAGAACCGGACAAACAAATTGAAACGGAGGGAGTATGTGTGTTCAAATGATATGTACCTGGAGGAATATATCCGAATGAACCAGCAACAGCACTGATACTAGCAGTCCCTCTAGATGGGTCGAGAAGCCTAGAGATTTCAACTTCACTAACCAAAGGCTTGAAGTTAGAATCAAGAAGCACATTCCCGGAAGAAATGTCAAGATGGATAATAGCAACGTGATGAAGGAACGCCAATCCTTCTGCAACTCCGGTGGCAATGGCAAGTCTTGTTGGCCAATCGGGCTTATAATCAGTTTTCTGGCTAGAGTTATGAAGATATTGAGTCAACGTTCCGTTGGCATAGTATTCATGCAACAGAAGAACGACATCTTCATAGATTCCAAACCCGATAGGACGAGCAAGATTATCATGAACGAGCTTACTAAGCTTTTCAAGCTCTCTGATCATCTTACTCTGGTGATGAATTATAGTTTGGTCCATTGACTTAAGCTTCTTCACCGACAAAATCATCCCGGAAGGCATGTCTGCTTTATAGACAGTGCTGAATGTACCAACACAAATCTTATTCGAGTCTTTCATGACTGCCTTTACAACTGCATCAAAATCAATTGCTTGCTTTAGATTGTCAACAAAGACGTTTCCCGCTAGTATCACTGGTTTGCTAGAAATTTCATCAATGGTATTTCCAGCTGCTTCCTTGGCAGCTTTCTCTTGTTTCTCCCTCATCATGAACAGCAAAACAACCACTGTGACACATACAAAAACTGCCAAACCAGAACCGATAACAGCCAAAACGATTCGGTAAGAGACCTTGTGACCGTAAACGCTGTGGTCATAACCATTTAAATCTCCACAACCACCACTCAAAGGATCACCACAGAGATCTTTGTTTCCAAGAAAACTTGAATTAGGACTTTTCTGAAATGGTGCAAAGGTAGGTATTGGACCAGTGAATTGGTTGCTCGAAAAATCAACCTCTATCAAACTTTGCATGCCCTTCAATGCCGGTGGAATATTTCCAGAGAGCTGATTATCAGATACATCTAAAGAAACCAACTTGTCGAGTTTTCCTAAATCCTGAGGCAATTTTCCGTGGAGACGATTATGACTCAAATTCAACGAAATCTGCAAGTTCTTCATATGACCAATCTCAGGAGGGATACTTCCAGTAAGTTCATTACTCCCCATTTCCAACTCAAGCAACTTTACACAATTCCCTATCTCATAAGGTATCTCCCCTCGAATCGAGTTCTCCCCCAACAGCAAATACTGCAATCTGGACGTATTGCAGATATCTGCCGGTAGGGTACCATTGAACTTGTTGTTGCTTAAGTCAAGCTTATTGAGATTCTTGCACTTAAGAACTGAAGTTGGAATCTCTCCATAAAGGTTATTACCAGAAACAATCAATTCTTGCAAACTGTTAAGCTGACCAAACTCAGGAGGAATAGTTCCATTAAACTCATTTGAAGCTAAATTAAGAAGAGTGAGATTCAAGCACTTCGCGAACTCGGTGACAATTTCACCAGACAAACTATTATTATCTGCTTCAAAATAAGTAAGACTACTGATATTCCCAATTGATTTAGGGATACCTCCAATCAACTTGTTATTCCCAATTCTAATACTAGAAAGTCTTTTACAATCCCCAATCGAATAAGGAATCGTTCCGGTCAACTTATTCTGAGTTAGAACAAGAAATTCAAGATTCCCATTAGCACAAATGCTCTCAGGAATAGTACCTTCAAGCTGGTTTGAGTGAAGGTTCAACAAAGAAAGATCAGAGTACAATCCTAAGTTAACAGGAACGTCTCCACTAAACTCATTCTCATAAGCAGCAAAAACCTTAAGATTGGTCAAATTACCAATCCACATTGGGATAGAACCATTCAAGTTGTTAGTAAATATTTGAAAATCTTGCAAATTCTCTAACCCCTCAAGCTCATCAGGTATAGCTCCAGTAAGCCAGTTTTTCGAAAGGTTTAATGCCTTAAGGCTTCTGAGCTTACCTAATTCACTAGGAATTGAGTTTCCAAACTTGTTAAAAGACAAATCAAGATATTGAAGCTCAGGTAACTTCCCAAATGCAAATGGAATAGAACCTTGGAAGTTATTATTAGAAAGGTCCAGCCACTTTAAACCTTTGAGCTCAGATATTAGAGTTACATTACCTTGTAATCTAAAACCAGAAAGATCAAGTCTTTCCACCATTGTACTGTTTGAGCTGCAAATAACTCCATGCCAAGAGCAGAAATCAGTTGTGTTCATCACACCCCATCCAGGTACTGATAGCTCTTTCCCAATTGCTTCCACTACTTGCTGATCATGAAAAACTAACTGGGAATTCCCAAGTTGGAATCTTGATGACAAACCAACTAGAAAAAACACAGTTAACAGAAAGCTCAATATTGCCATTCTTGAGTTGTTGTTTTTTTCAAGAAAACACCTTTTCTTCAATTTCTTCCTCCTTCTCCCTCCAAAATAACCAGACAGAACAATCAAGAATCCATTGATGACATTAAGGGGTGTGAAAAAGGCGTTTACAGTGAAAAAGATTGAATCTTTGAGATGGTTATGAGGTTGTCTACAAAGAAAACACCTTTTCTTCAACTTCTTCTTCCTTTTCCCATCACATGAAACTTTCTGTAGAATTGGAGATTGTGGGGGTGGGGTGTAGAAGACAGAAAGGGGGGTTTAGAGTGTAAAAGAAATGCTTAAGAAATGTGAGGGAGTATTCCATATGAGGAATCTTGAAAATGGTAAATAACCAAAAGGCTAAGAAGCCCTTAAATTTAGGAAACAGGAGTACTATATATATCTAAGAAGAAGCCATATCAAGAAATGAAGAAAACCATTGTGTTTGTGTGTAGAAGAAGAAAACATAGAAAGAAACAAAACACTAAAAAACAGGAGGACACAGAAAACCTGGGACTAGGCTAGAAGATAGACTAGCTGAGCTGAAACAAAATAGTACCACTACAGTATTAAGGAATTAAAAAAACTAAAATAATTGTTATTACTAGTACTTTTTAGATTAGATTAAGCTAGTAGAAGAACAAAAAAATTGGGTTTTCAAAGGACAAACATAAAGAGGTTTGTGGGGGTAAGGGGTAGGGGGGGGGGGGTACAATGTTGATTATGTAACTGA